TAACATGTAAATACCAAGATATTTTGTATTTCCGTTATTAAATAACTCCTATATTAAAAGCATAGATTTCCCAATCGTACAGTATTTTAGAATCATATTTGCTGTCAAATATTTGCTATCTCTTGATGTACTTGTAGGACTATGTAATGTCCACATGTTACAATAAAATATCAGCAGACTATTTGTACAAAGTTCGCGGAACATCTCTGCAGCCTCAAGCCAATGGAAATGACGGTAATGCGGGCTCCATCACCAGGCCCGACCAACAAGTGCCTGACTTGTACAGATAACTAATAAAACCCAGTCATTTCTTTCTTGAGGTCTTTAGAAATCTTGAAACAAGGCCTAGATATGAAAGTGAAATGGGTCCATGCTTTTTTATTGTTCTAGATTTTATTAAAAATACCCAGAGGCAGAAGGTGGTCTAATGCATATGTTGAAATCCTAATGTGGTGTACAGTTAATTCCCGGTTTTAATTTGTACAAGTCTATTCATAACATTTTTTTATATCTTAAGAACTTTGCAATGCATGTTTTTATCCAAAATATTGAACTATTTAAGCAGTCAGCCGTGATAATTTCAGTAAATATCAGATTTTAAGTTCATCAAGAGTTCTGGAATTATTTTTAGTTAGAGGAAGACGCAAATCACTTGACAGCAAGCTGTTGAAAAGTGTAAATTAGCAATAAGCAGAGATCACACCTTACTAATAATTGTGGCCGAGCTACCTAGGGAGTTGACCATAATGACCAGAGAGGAGCTTGAACTTAAAGGCTATTAATGCCTTAAAAGAGTTGGTTATAAATCCCATAGGTACAGTATAGTGTTCTTCTTTTCAATGACCTGCCTGCTTATCTTCTGCTTTCGATATCATTGTATTTTTAATGAACGTTAGTTATTTTTGTGTTGTTGTAGCTGTTGTGGAACTTCAAAATCATTTCCATTATATATTTCCTTTGTGACTAGTATCGTCAAGAGCGAACCTAACTGTTATTGTTTGTGTTAATAAGTATAGAGTAGTGTCTTAGGTAAAAAAAAAACCCTAAAAAGTAAAATATTTTCTTGTTGTTTTATTTAAATAATCAATTGAAATCGTCTAATATTATCGATGTTAATTAATAGTTCCCTTTTATTACTTATTACATTGTATATTTTGTTTAATGTTTTCTCTAGCATTATTAAATATAATTTTATACTAGTGGTAAATACAGTATAAATGTGCATACATTTTTTTAATGTATTTGGGTAATTTTTTTCACCTTGCTTATTATCACGTTACCTTACAGGCAAAATTAAATATAAAACTTAATAAATTAATAAATGAGATTCTGCAGTGAACTTTGTAGTTATCTTTGTTAGATCTTGTTCAAAAAAAATTTCTTCTACTTATCTCTTACAGCTGCCTTGTCTTGTGATTTTTGTTTGGCTTTCAGAAAAACTATGATATCCAATTTTGTCGTATTTATTTCTTGTCTAATCAAATACTGTATGATAAAAAAAAATTTGTTTTTCTGAGAATCTATAAATATGCAGTGCATCTGTCGATATCATTCCATAAGTTTCTGCCATTTTGAATTATAAACATTAATACTTCCTCACAGCAGAGTTAGCTTCCTTATCGTGCACATCCTCTGTGTATTTGTCCCAAGACTCAATCGCTTAACCACAGGGAAACGTTGCATGTGACGAAATAAACAAATACATTTGGATTTTGATGTCATATGACGTATACTTAATTTTACATCCTTGTCGTAATTGTAGGTATTTCTTGCATGGTCACAGTCAAATATGGTTTTGATGTTGCGTAGATTTACACTTTTGAAAGGAAACAATTGATTGGGTTGGTTAGCCTTATTCCTGCACAAGTGGCAAGGGTTTAAGGGGTAGGAATTGAGGTTTGAGGTCTGTGAGTGTTGGGATGGGGTAACCTTGTAATTATGAGGGATAGGGGTTTGGATTTATTTAGCTTTGTAATTTTGGGTGGGGAGGATTTAGGTTGCAGAGCATGAGGGCTTGAAATTTGTATCTTTCTGCTTGTGTGAGTGCCAGGGATAGGGTTTGCATAGCCTTTAGTGCGGGTGAGTGGTAGAAATTGGGCTTTATTAATAGCAAATGGTCTAATGATTACCTACTCTCTAAAGTGCTCTTTGTCTTATTGTTAACATCAAGGAAGAGTAATTTAATATAGGTTATAAACTATGAAAATTGGAATATCCTCTGTTATTATATTCCTTTTATCAGCATTATAGTAAAACTGTTTTTATATAAAGACTAGCTGCACAGTTGCAAAATACATACAACTTCATGATTCAGTTATTAAATTAAAGTGGTAGAAATTTTTCTTTTTTGAGAGGTGGAAATTGGGTTTGCATAGCCCCATGCTTGTAATGTGTCGAGGTGCGAGTTTCGTAATCAGTAGACATTTTGTTGAAGCTAATAAGTATCAAATGTTAGTGCGTAGGATGTTTTAAGAAAGAACTTCCCAATAGTTATGCAATACATTTATAGCAAATGGTCTCTAAAGAACAATTTATTATCACCTACTGTCTATAATAGTGTTCTTTGTCTTATTGTTCTTTGTCTTATTGTTAACATCAAGGAAGAGTAATTTAATATAGGTTATAAAATATGAAAATTTGAATATCCTCTGTTATTATATTCTTTTTATCAGCATTGTAGTAAAACTGTTTTTATATACAGAGTAGCTGCACAGGGGAAAAATACATAGAAGTTAATGATTTAGTTATTCAATTATTAGTGTTGTACTTAATGTCCACAACATGCTCACAGCACGAACAAAAAGTATTATAGCCGGAAATGCATCTATAGAACTTGGAACTGCCCTGAGTGACAGTTGACAGTTCGTCTGGTTAAATGTATGCGTGTGTTATGTCCAGCCTACTTTAATGGATGATTAGTGGATACATAATCTTTCATTTAGGGAAAAGAAATAAAATTCCTATGGGAATATTAATGCCATTGGGATAAATCGAGTAGTGCACATGTTAGTACATGTATTCGTCTTGTTTGAATAATTGCTATTGGTTGTGGAGACATTAGGCTCATTGCCAGTGTAGGGACAGTTTCAATGTTGATTTGCAATGGTTAGTTATTCACTCTTTAACTTCAATCATTCCCCATTTCATAGTTAATCAGTTTTCCTAATTGATGGTTAATTATTTCTGACAATGCAAAGTGTAATACAAATTGACCATTGCATGTAATCATAATAGTAGGCCTAGTTTTGCGAGAACCTTGCCTGATGCTACAGTATACTGTATGACACATCTTATGTATTAAATTGCATAATTTGGACCCATTTTTTAAAATGTGGACCCCATTCTTTTTGGACCCATTATAAAAATTGTGTGAGACTGTCCCAATAGCTGGCTACGGCATTGTACTTGATCACGGCTGCGCTATATTTTCCATTTCAATTTTCTGGTCTTTACTAAACAGTCATTTTTAAAATTATTGTGACCATAGGCTTAGGAGAGGAATTAAGGTATGGGAGCCCTTAAGCATTTTTTCCTAGAAAATGTCTAAACTATACCTACAGTGGTGTATCTAGGGGAGGGCATGGCCTAGATACGCCACTGTAGTTGCGTCCCCCCTCCCCCCCAAAAAAAAATCATGGTCAGGTAGTTAAAAATCATCTAAAATCACCATATTTTGCAAATTAGTGCCCCTCAACTAAACATCGAGGACCCCTCACTTCACCTTCATGTCCCCACCCCCTATCAGCAAGAGTACAACTCTCATCTGCTTCACACTACAGAAACTGGGGATAAGCTCTAGCCCTATGAGCCCCAGTGGCTCGGAAAGGATTTAGTTAGTATTTGGCTGTGGAATAGGCGACCACAAGATTTCTCCAATACCCCCCTCCCCCACGATCCATGGCAAAAGTGACCATTTTATTTGGGTGTAGCATGCTTTCAGTATCCCCAATACATATGATAGGACGGGCTGGAAATGGTGCGCGACCAGCGGTTGGAGGCATCGTGGAAGTCCAGGAGGCAAAAAATTAACTGTTGGGATAATAGTGATACAGATAAAATTTGATGCTGAAGGCATTTAATGAGACAATTTTCATGGTCGGAGACACAAATAATTTTTTCCAGTGCTGAGGATAGGTATGATGTCCTTTTGTCTATAGTCTTCCACTTTTCATTCCTCAGTGTACAACGCATTGGTGTATATAGATAAATTTTAGAAAATGTTGACTGTCTAAGCCATTAGTGAATATAATTATAATTTTTCTTAATTGTTAATATTATAAACATACTAATTTAAGCATGTGTAAATTCTGTTTTTAAAATTTGTTACAGATCTGAAATAAATTGGGTCTTTGGGGGGGGGGTCATAGTATTAAATAATTAAAATGTGAGCCAGTTATAAATTATAACACCTGGTCGTGAAGGGACATCCCTAAATACGTCAATAGTCTATTTTAGGAAACTAGTTCAATTATATAAAGATTAATTTAGCATAAGGTACATCTTACTGCTACTTATGTCTTTATCCCACGTAAGCGGTTCCTTGCAAATCACTTCAGCTTAACAAATTGCTTACGTTATTTTACGCACCATATGAGCTATGATTTCATTTATTTTCGTTAAGTTGATTACGAATTATACAATCGTTGAACAGGCTAATGAAGTTTTCTCCTGGGAACATTCCTATTTCCGCAATACAGCTCTGTTAACATTGCATCATGTTCTATTGAAAATGTCATTTATACTAGCTTTCAATGTTAACTAACTATAATAATTATAGAGTATCTGATATTGGTATAAACAATAAAAGGTAAAAATACTAAAAATAGTACTGAATACAGCCAGTCTTTAGATTTACATTGTTCATGTTTCAGTTTTAAAGTGTTTTGCAGTACTAATCTTAGATTTTTGTTATTGGTCTAAAAGATTTGAATGGAAATTACTTTTTTAGTGGTCATCCTATATATTTATCCATTTGATTTCCTCCTTTATATCTTTTATAGAACTCAAAAGTGAATGGCGAAGCAAAGGCAGAAGTGAAAACAGCAGGTGGAGGTGATGCAAAGGTAACTTAACTAGGGCTTGTGTAGGGGGCAGGTGGAGACAGTCGGGTCATATGTCTCTGCAATGATTGATTGATTGACACCACTAGGTTTTTTTTTTAACATTGAAAGTCCTTAGGGCAAATATAGTACATTTTCCAATAAAAGATGACAGTTTGATTTTTTTTTAATGTACAGTATCTATTAATATTCCATATCTCCAATTTTCATTGTTATTATTTTTATATTTAAAAATGTTTGACTCATAATTTGAGCACATGAATCTTAAATGTCGATCCTATTTTTAGAATTGTTTAAAATAGATCTGAAAACAATTTGGTCTTAATGGCCATCCTATTTTAATCCTTTACTCCTTTATATCTTTTAACAGAACTCTAACAAAATGAAGGGCGATTCATGTTATGTAAAATTATATGTATACACAAGTATTGCATTTATATGTAACATGTATATATATATATATATATACATATATATATGTATATATATGTATATATGTGTGGCTGTATTTGAGGAAGAAACCATCAGTCAACATACAATGTCGTAGTGAATGCTCTAGTGATGTTGGCATAAACTTGTGTACTGTACAAGTGCATGGCAAGATAAGGGTTCGTTGGCAGCGAGGAAATACAAAATGACAAGCTCTACGAAACTAATCAAACAGATCACAAGATATGTTGGTCCTTGTTACGATTATAAGCCATTGTGTGCATCTTGCACGCATATGTGGGCCATTGTGTGCATCTTGCACGCAGACCCATGACGGGTGGATACATGCACTGAATGCCACTGTTGCTGTCTTATTTTGTTTTATTTCGGAATGTTCAAACTTAATATTCCCTTAGACACCAAAAGCAATGAACAGCACCTGGAAAAAGCCTTGGTGCTCCAGAAACCAAAAGTGTATTAGTTCCATATACTGTACTGTAACCCACTTTCAGAATACACCTTGTAGCTTTTTGCTCAATCTACTCGAATTGATTAGAATACTTGGCATGCTGCCAGGCCATACAAATAATATGAAGTTGCAAATTTATAAAACATAGATTTGTTGTATTACTATTATGGTATAGCTTGCTTGTTAACATGCTATTTGACTTGTAAATCTACTGTTCTGTGTTCGAATCCTACGTAAAACCACAATTTCCTCAGTAATGCCATTCCCGAAGCCTAATAGTAAGACATAGTTTTATAGAGAATATCACAAATTCTCTTGTAATTGGAGCGTACTGGTCCACTGCATGTGTTTTAATGCAAGATATGTCTTTATAATATTATTAGAATATTGATAGTAGTAATCGTCTGAATTTCATAACAATAGTGGTTATCAATAATGTCTTTTTTTTTTTATTAAAAATATTAAAAAACCCCAATTTTCTGACGTTTCTCATTAAGTTTTCCCCATTGTAACAAGACTATTGTAACAATTAAAAAGTCATTATATTTATGAATTTTATTTTAAATACTTACAGTAGTACTCATGTTTAAATATAATAAGAACTTTTTTATTAACTTTGTTTTTTTAAAGAATTTATTCTTAAGTGGTCGTTTTCCTGACTATTGAATTGAGTGACTGTATTTTAATTGCTACTAATATCATTATTAATTTATTTTAATAACATTAAATTTAGCTATCGAACATAATTACCGGTCAAATAAGAATTGTGATTCATAACATATACTAGTATCCGATACTGATGAGTTAACTAGCTTTTTTTATTCTGAGGGGATTCGTTGTTCTGATATATCCAAAAAAGAGTCAGTAACTTGTCACAATTAATGTTGTTGTGATGGTTGCCGAAAAGAAAAGTTTACTGTATACAGTGTAATATATAGGAATCGGCATTAATCCACTTGGGGGTTCTTAAGATGAGATGCTCAGGCCAAAAAAGTTTGTGTTGCCTAGGCCTGACCTCCCCAAATCTTGAACATCTAGGGTCACCATTTTTTTTAATAACCATTGGAGACTTTAAAGTGCTTGTATGTTAAGTCAACTTTTTAAGATTCTTTTGTTTAAAGCAACTTGGGAATAGTTAATGAGATACAGATTTTTGAACATTCAAAAACTAAAGGGAAAAGGGGACATCTTCCACCCCTTTCCCCCAATTTTTGAATATTCAAAAATCTGTATCTTATTTAACCATTCTCGAGTTCTTCGGCATCCTATTTGTGTCTCAGTTATACAACATTTTTTTTTTCCTCCGGAGCCTGACTTTGATAATGAAATTAAATTCATTCATATATTCATATACCACCAGGATGGTAGGAAATATGTAAGAGATACATGTTGCATGTAGTTTTAAAAGAGTAAGCCAATTATTCTCTAGTTCTAATTTAACTGTGACACATGTATGCTAATTAGCTTATTGTCCACATCCATACATGTGTTGGTAATTAACTTAGTAATAAGATTTTCACCTGCAATTAAGAGTGGACTTACCCATCGTTAAAACGTGTGAGAGTGTTTTTCTGGGATATCTCTTCGTTAGAGAAAACTCGAGTCATCCTTGTCAGAAAAGATTGCCAACGATTAATGTGATGCTTACCACAAATCAGCCTTTCCTTCTACCTTACTGAAAAGATTCTTATAATCCTGGTGTACTATATTTATATTGACAGCCAATTCTTTGTACCAACTATCAACTTTGTTCTCGGATTTTCTTTGTTTTTAGTTTTGTTTAAAGTAGTCCTTTTGACTTTTCCGTGATAAAATTATAAAAGCAGAATTATTCTTTAATAAGGTACAAATGCACAATTCTGTGAATTTTGTATTTTCTTGCATTTTCCTTGATCAAATACAAATATAAAAGCAGAATTAACATTCTTTAAAAAGGTACAAATAGATATAAAAGCAGAATTAACATTCTTTAAAAAGGTACAAATAAATATAAAAGCAGAATTATCATTACTTTAAATAGGTACAAATACACAATTTTGTATTTTCTTCTGTATTTTTTATGTTACTGTAACAAGGGCAGGCTATGTTCATATAGTACTTTAGCTTTAGTTCATAATTGGCAGTGGCATATCTAGGCGTCTTCAAATAGGTTGGCTGATGTGGGGTGCGTAGGTGCAGTGATAGGGCTTGAAGATTGAGGGGCACTATCTCTCAAAATAAGGTGATGTGAGCATGATTTTTTGTTGCATTAAATATTTTCATTTGGTGGGGGAGGGTTGGGGGCTGTCTCTTATACACATCTAGATGTGTATAAGAGACGCCCACACCCCCTAGATACACCACTGTTGATTGGTGCTTCATAGTGCTGGGTGGATGTTGGTGGTGTTGTTTTTGTCATGGTATTTTTTAATATATTCCATACACATTCACTGTTTCAGCAAGCTATTAGTACTCCAGGTATCATTGCAATAAACTATATGATTATAAAAGTAGACTAGTTCGACAATGTGAGGTGTATGAGTGAAGGTAGTACCTTATGGTTACAATGCAGACACAATAGCCACCTACAGGTAACCACATTTAGCAACCTAACCAACACTTTTTTTTGCTTGTTACAATAAATTGTAATATTTTAGACATTATACCCTTAGATTAGGCCAAAAAAAAAAAAATGTGTTCTGTTGCCCTCCGCGACCGACCAAAAATTTCCAAAAAATTGGGTCATTTTTTTTTGTTTTTTTTAATTTTGTTCAAGTACAAATTCGAGAAATACCACTTCCGAAATTAACATTTAGAACATAAAATCTAAAACAGACATGTATTTTTATCAAAGTCGGGCCATAGATGCACACGTAAAATCGGTAAAATAGGGGGCATAATTTTGAGAACCGAGTGCGACAATGATATATGCACACATCGGGTCTCTCGCGCTGAGCTGTCAAGCCATGACCAGATCTAGCCTAACTTATTCTTTACTACTGTATAACTAGTGGTTGCTTGAATCAAATATCGTATCTTTCTAACTTATTTATTTTTGTTAAATTTATTTCAGTATACACTTGGTTAGTATTTACTCGTCATTACTTTGAATATTTTTTGTTTGGCAAGCCTGCCATTGTTCTATTGTGGTGCCTACGAGCCCTTAGGCTTAGGGTTTTCATAATGGGGAAACATAACAATTTTTTTTTTTGCCTACTCAAATTAGGAATTATTTAGGATTGAATGTTTTTTAATCAAATTTGTGTAATAGGGATAAATATACATTACGTTAAAAAGTTTATAAATATCAAATCATCCATAATTTTATTTGGCTCAGTTGTAAAATGAAATGAAATCCTCCCGGGCAAATGTTATCTTTCATGCTTACTTTTTAAAGACATTATCCTGTCAGGGGATAGACACTCGTATATTGTGATGATTAGAAGGAGGAAGAAAATAGAAAGTAAACAAAAATATTTATATTATTTTTTATAATTTTTTTTTTCAAAAAATTATTTTTAACTCATTTTCAAGCTGCTGTAAAATGTAAAATAATTGAGTCATAACTATAAGTTGCCTCATTTTTTTTCTCAATTGAATTGTCAGGCATTTGCGTGCATCCAATTTAAAGTGTGTTTACATGTTAAAATTCATGGGAACCCTGAGGAATAATGGTTCTCCATAAATGAAAGTAGCCCCATATATAAATTGTTTGCCTAGTTCAGCCATTTTTCATGTCAAACTCGTACTTCTAACTTTGATCTAAATTCATCCTCCAATAAATTCCAATATTCTTTACAAATGAAATTAAAATCATATGTCAAACAAAACTATAATTACCCAAGATTAGGATGAATTAAGATTATTTTGTTTTAAGGCTGTGTGATTGCAGAAATGAATATGAAGCACTGTAAATCTGGGATTTTTTTTTAACGGGCTAAAAATAACTTGATTTCTACATCCCTTTATATTGATGTTGAGAGAAGCAAAGAATTAATCTTTATTAATTGAAATTTAGTTGTTTTAACAGTCTGAAATTCTTTTGGCCTAACTCTTATTTGCTCTAAAATATTAACAAGTAAATTACATATATTGGGCACACTTGCTTGGTTTCCGTCCAGATATTTAATACACAATAAATAAGTCTTTGTTCGCAGTCCCTCTGTTAAGCTGGGGAGAAGTGGCTTTGAATACTGACCGCTGACCGCATAAAAATTCTACAACCAATTATTTTCACAGATTCGGATGCGTAGAATTCGGAAAAATCAAGAAGTTTACAATGTTTCCTGAATATCATGACTAGTGCATTAGGCTTCCCTATCATGACGTTCATTTCCATCTTAATACATAACAAAGACATGGTCAAATGTTAACATTTCATGTGCTATATTTGCATACACGTTGGTATTAACAAATGTTTCGCAGTGACGATTTACAACACTGACCGTATGGTTATAATCAGCAGTTGCTTTTTGAGACTGGTTGTGTGGTTCGTCAAAGCTGTCATAGCAGAATCAGTATTAATTTAACTGGATGTTGCGTGACTGTAATATGATGTCGTCTTAGAACATTTAGGTCATTTGAAAATTGTTCTTTATTCTTTCGTAGAGCTAGGTTTTTCTCTAGATTTTTCGTGTGTATTTCATTTATACAAAGACAGATTTTCATCATTTAATTTCTTCATAAATCTGAAACCAGTGACTCTATACTACTCCCAATAAAGGCTTGTCCAGACTATCAAATTTAATTTGACAAATGCCTATATATGGTAATGATGTGCCTATATATAGGTTGTGATGTGATGTCTTCATGACCATATTTAGGCATGTCGTCTGTAGGGGCTTTTAGTAAAAACTGATAAATGACACACCTGTGAATTTATATTCTGGAGCATGCGTATCTGGAATATTACCAACATTCAATGACATGAATGACTGGGACAAGTCCGACTGTTCAATGTAAATCGAGGATGCATTCATTTAACCCGCTTTATATGATCTATTGCACTGTTTTTTTCTTTGGATTGAAGGTTTGGTTTTGATTCTCTTTTAAAATGATGCATTGTCAAGTATTGATCACTGATATGCTTATATAAACTTACATTTTATATATATATATATATATATATATATAAAAAAAAAATATCTCAATTTTTTGTGAAACAGTGCTCAATCCCACTGAAAAATCTATCTCTTATACACATCTAGATGTGTATAAGAGACAGATTATGCACTTGTCAATTGTAGTCCAAACTTCCATGGAAACTGCTAAGTGCGCATGTAGTTTATGTGGCTAAACCTTGGCACATGTATAAAGCATTTTGTTTGTGATGAAATTGACGTAAAGTTGTTATTTAATTCAAATTTTTACAAATTAAAAAAAGAAATGCACAACAATGAGATATGTACTGGCATGATTTTGTACATGGATCTATAGAATACAAACACCTCTTTTTTTTTTCTTGACCATTAACCATTTTTGACAGTTACTGCAAAAAGATATTTAAATTTAGTATAGATTTTACTAGGTGCCTAAGAATGGCTTTTTTGTTTTTTTGTGACTAGAATATAGTGGGTACAGATGTTACTTGTAAAAACAAGGCCTTTGTCAGGGTTCTAGGAAGTAGGTGGTTCTTGCGTACCTTTTAATTCAAAGTTAAATTCTTAGAAGCACTTTCACAGCAATAACACACGGAGGAAGCAGTGAATGATTAATGGGTTTTTAAATACCAGTATCATCTTCTGATATTGTTTGAATGGCTATATAAAAAGTAATATTTTACATAATTAAAACTTTAATGAATTAATTTTACAATAAATTAGACCGAATAAATCTTCCAAATTAAAATTTAACTGCTGATCCTGCTTGTTTTTATGTTGATAATGAATAGATAGGGTTCAGAGGTTAAAGTTGATAATGAATAGATAGGGTTCAGAGGTTTAAAAACTTATTAGCATGTGAATATATCTTGGACGTATTTTACATCGCAATAATCTAGTCAAATCATTTTGAAGTTTCTACTGTAGATTTGATGTTATTGCTTGTAATAATTTTGTTCCTCAACCCCAACATTTTTTTTCTGGGTGGTTGTTCTAAGCTGAACAAATTGTTTGCCATCTGTTGCAGAAGTGCAAATCCAGTCCTGTTTGGTAATTAGACCGTCAAGTTGCAAAAAACTAGTTGTTAATGATATATATATGCTTCAGTAGATGTATTGCCTAAAAGCCTGACTTCTAACACATGTAGTGGACAGTCGATGTTGAAGATAAGCTAAGTAACTATGACAACAGTGTGACCTTTTTTCCCCTCTCCTCGCTCCGCATCAGGAGGTGTGAAGTGAGTCTCTGCAGAGTCCATCGACCCGTAATGATTTCTTAATTTGGCGTTATTTCTTTATTACAGGGGAAAGGAACACAGAAGAAAAAAGGAGGAAAACCACAGACCATTCAGGAAATTAAGGATGACATTACAAAGGTAAACAGACTTTTATCGCTTGGCTTCGTTGTACGCGCCATGCGCTGGCCTCCCTTTGTGTGGGTCGGGGACCCCTCACATTTGACACCTGTGACTGGAGGTAACCGTGCGGACAGATCACGTTGCAGTTGTGGCTGTGCAATTAAGAAAGTCATGAGAGTTCACACTTGGAATATAATTAGGTAGCCTACCAATTCAAAACTTTGAATGATGTCTCCAAGACCTGCTTTGGCTTGAAAGACAACAGGCACAGTTGCCAAGTTGCTCAACATGAAAAAAAAAAAAAAATGTAACCTCCATGTAAAAGTATCATGTACTTTCCACAATTAATATGGTGGAAACAGGTTACGGTACAACCTTGTGTTGATCGCTATAACCATGGGAACCGTACAGCCAGTGCCGCCAAGAGTGGCCGTGGTGCCCGGGGCAGCTTAGCTGCCCACGCATATTGGCTGGGGGTCTGGGGAATGCGTAGAAACCCAGCTGGGTCCAGTGGCAGAGCATGGGTCAAGGGGCAGAGCGGAAACTATGGTCTTTTTATGGAATTTAGGACTACTGTCATTTAATCGACATGGAGTGCTTAATTTCACCAGGTCATGAACAATAAATTATAGAAACATGAAAAGTAAAAGCTATCTTTACTTATATTCAAACGTTTATTTATTTAATTTAAAAAAAATTAATTTTACTTTTTTTTTTTCTTTACCTATCGGCCCATGCCCCCGTCCAGTCCGAGCCCAGGGGCATTTGCCCTGTCTGCCACAGCCTCTTTGCGCCATTATATGCAGCAAAAAATGTATTTGCTAATTCTGTTCCATTTGAATCCAATTTACATGTTACTTAACTTCTATCCTTTTTTTTTTTTTTTATCAATATTTGTTTAATGATCTGTTGTTTATTTGTCCATTTTGGTATTGTATTTATTTTTCTGTAAGGTTCCATGTGTTATATTGAGAAACTAAAAATGAGAGATGAGCGTTTTTGTGCTTGTCCTCGTCTGTCTTATCTTATTAAAATCAGCCAACCAATATTTTCAGACATCTTCCAATGGCCTACAAATTATCTTTGTTGTGAACAAATATCCTGTGAAATTTAATGGTTAATTCCAACCAAGTGTGAAATGTATAGAACCACCGTTCCCAGAAACCAAATCATTTACCCTCCATCCTAAATGGATAAGTAAAGGAGATGGGCTTCGAAAACACGCTAGAGAGTTCACGACCACAAATTTTGCCAACCAACAATGACAGTCAGGACCCTAGACATCTTGTCTCTGTCGTTTCTCTTGACGATGAATCGGCAGTTTGTTTTTTTTTCCGCCGTCTTGCGAATACCTTGTTGCAGAGTGAACATGGAGAGTTTATCTCGAAAGATTTTATATGATGTCATTTACATTTTTAGGGTCTTTGGCCTGTGGTTATCAATTGAATCACCTAAATGCCAAACATGTAATCAATAAATAGATTGCTTCAGAGAAAATGGACAATCGTACTTAACGGTTCCTTCCCTTTTCTAAATTATTTTAATAAATACTTTTTTTACAACATCCTGACTTTTAATAAATGCTTGGGTATTTCAGATTAGAGATATATTAATGGGTTTTTTTATATATTTAACAGTATCATTTGAAGGTCTTAAAATGTTTTTACTCTTATTTGTACATTGTCGGCAATGGGATAAAAAAATTTTAATTAGATTTCTGAGTTTTCCCATACTTTGTTAGACTTTATAATTGGGTTTCCTGCTTTTGCGTCTCTGGGCAGTGATGCCAAATGAATAAATAAAAAAAATAATAAAATTATTCTATTTACCGACTCTGTTAATATTTTTTGAAAGTTATTGATAGGTAAATAAACACCCATCTCCCTTTACACTGGCCATTAGCTCTATCATACTAGTCTAGTGAATCTCTCGCTCATTCTACCAGTCAGCCGTTGGTTCTACTGCTTCCCATACCAGCCAATTCCTTCTATATATTCCATCTTATTTATAGTATTTATCTACTACCAAGTACACTCTCATCATCTATCAGCCCATATATAGCTTTCTAATTGGCCAATCCCCTTTTTCCTTACCAGTTCATCCCCTGTCAATCCCAATTGTGTGACCCCTATAAATGTCAGTTGTTCACTATGTAAGTAATCGTCACGATCAAAACATTTTTTTTTTTTTTTTTTAGATTTATGCAGTGACAACAATTTATCTCAATTAATTTACTTTCTGACATTTTGTATCCTTCTAAAACCCTAGTCTAGTGATCAAAATGTAGAGAGCATTAACCATTATAATACAATTATTTACATAAAGACTGATCCCAATGGAATAGGCTGGTTTTCCCTAAAGGAAATATTGTGTCACGTATCGCTATGAGTTGTAGTACAGGGAATGCAAGGAGCTATGCAATGTGTCAGCTGAAGACACTAGACAAACCATGGGGAAACCAGATTAAAATTTCATGTAATTGTATACAAATTGGTGGCATGTTTGTGGTTCAATTAGTATGCGTAATGGGGCTTACAAAAATACTAATGATTGAGGGAGTTGCACAAGGGTATTTGGTTCAAATTGGGCTTTCGATGCCCTGTCGTTGATTGTCTAAGCATTTGTCAGTTGATTTTGTAAAAGGGATGTTTGTCTGGTGTGTGTGTTCCCTGATAAGTTTGATTACTCCACTAATTTGCTAAATCTGTCCCAAATGGGAGGTTTCGAACTAAATTTCTGTACACATAGATTCATCAAGCTGTAAAATTTAAGGGTAATTTAAGGGTATACAACTGCACTTATCACAAGGGAGTGCGTAGCAGTTTCCTGTGAGCTTTGGCTTTCATCCCTGGGGTACTATGCAATAATATGTATATATCAATTTTCAACTCCCCTGACCTGGTAAGTTGCATATGTAGAGTATATGTAAATAGAAATTCCTGAGATTAAAGTCACAGGCCATTAGAACACCAATTGATGTTGAATCTATTGAAAAAACGATTAAATAGTCAAAAAAAAAAATGTCACTGACCATGAGTCAATTGGATGGAAATCACGGGGAAATCCCTCTATATTCACTATAATCTTCTACTTAATTTAATTAGCAACCTTTATTAGGATTCCTGTTGCATCAACCACCAGAAGCGCGTGATTTTTGTTTTAGTATTACTCCCTACAATCCTAATTTTAGAATGATAGTAATATCATTAGCAAGGGAAAACTTCTGATAAACTAAAAATATTAAATTAACCAATATTTGGTCTTTGATGATATTGAGCACATCCCTTTCTGGGTATTTAGCGAGAGAGCAGCTTAGCTCAGTCGGCTAATCTGGTGGTAGCCGCTGTGTGTGCGCTGAATCGTGGAGATCTCTAGGTCCCCCGTTTCAATTCCCATCGCTGCCTCTCCTTGTGTTTCAGCTAGAGAGCTGAAATACAAGTTACTAGCGCACCGTCTTTCGGATGAGATGTTTAGGCCATTGGTCCCGTGTGCATTATGGCCCATGTGCATGTTAAAGAACGCAGTGCACTCTTCGGAAAGAGTAGGGGATTGTCTCCCGGTGTACTGCCCAATCACCACCAGAAGACCCCTCTGGAAATAAGTCTTCTTCTAGACTTTCGTGGGCTATCCTTGGTGTTTACACCGAATAAATCCAATCCAATCCGACTCAACAACATAGTATAGTGCTTTAAAAACAACTGCCACTAGGGGAGGTGCCATGGGGGTGGTTGGCACCCTTCTTCCCTTCTCTCCCCCCCCCTAAAAAAAAAAGAAATGGTCGAAAAGAGGAAGGGGAAAGACGATGAGAGCACAGTACTCCAAAACAAGCCAATTTTGTAATTATAAATTCCATGTACAATTGCATGTGGTCAATATTTAAACAAAACTCTCAATAAACCAATTTTTTTTTTAATGAAAAAAAAAGCATTGTAGATATAAATTATAGGATGGCTTCTATATTGTCTGGTTATGTAATGTTAACTTCCCCCAGAGATTCCTTGAACTCAAATATTTCTAAATTTACCTAATCATTTAGATGATTAATGATTTATGCAGAATAACCAGAAAATTATGTATAGGTGTAATTTTTGCCCTACCTGACGTGGAAATGTACCGAATACTCAGTACATTTGAAAACAACTGCGAAAAAAAATGGAAGTTGTTCTCGGGTGGGACTCGAACCCACGATCTCCAGATCACTAGCCTGGCATCATACCTCTAGACCACCGAGCTTGCGCCTGATGGCCAGGGTTGAATTCGAGTCCAAGTAAGCAGCGGGTACTGCAGTGTTGATAGTAATTGTGCATCAATGCATTTGCAATTGACTACGCAAGTGGTTGTAGGTACAGTAATTAAAATATTCTAAATTTAGCATCAAATCTCGTAAGACAGATTAACAGATTAATTCCAAATGTTTGTGGGTCATACTTAATCTTTTACTTTTATATGTTGCCTAATTTAGGATTTTAATGACCAAAATTAAGGAAAAGTAAATTGCTTGAAAAAACATTCTTAATAGATTGTTGAGGAATGACTTTATTTCAAATGATTATTTGTTTTGATAATCAGTTTTTTTTTTGTTTTTTTTAGAATTTCCAAGGCTCATAATGACATAATGAGCCCATGCTCCCTTCCCCTAGATTTTTTTAATGAAAAAAAAAACATTAAAATTTTTAGCTCGAGAGTGCCATTACGGCCATCTAGAAATGCCATACAGTGTACATAAAAAGTCCACCAACCATGGTAAGCCTCTAAAATGTAAAATGTCTACCACCAACGTTTTCAGCCCCTAAAATGTAAAATATCTACCACCAACGTTAGTTTTCTACAGCTACGGGTACAACCCTGTCGACTGTATGTATTGGAACATGTATGGTAATCATGTAGCTAGTAGAGACAGGGTATGCACTTACTTTACATGATTTAATACTTAGGGGTTTAACTGGAAGCCATTTGGATCTATTTATAAGTGTTAACTATAACTTTACCTACATGTGCACATGAGGAGCATTTAATAACACTACCCATGTGTATTTAACTTTCACCACATGTATGTAAATAGGCAAAACTTGTGGCTCTTACTTAAAGTGTGATATGATATTGATATCATAACTGCTAATTGTATCTAATATTATGATTGACACTCAATCCAGCAGGACACTGGATATTTCCTTTTAAAGATAGTGAATTTCAGTCAAACCATCCTTGTCATAATTGATGAAAATGATTTTTAAAAGATGAGGTTCCTCAAAGGCACAAGCTCTCATTTGAGACATAACAATATTGACTTTCATCAGGGGTGTCACACGTGAATGGCGTGGAAATTGCGTATGACGTCTATGATAAAGACAAGTTTGGCCCTTGTGAATACTGCTCAATTTTTAAGAACCCGGAGGAAATTAAAGCGTTAGTAAACGTCAAAGGAAATTCAGTCCCATCAAAATTTTGAGTAGTCATAATGGCCAAGAAATTCAATTCCTTAAATTCTGTCTTGATTAATAAATTTTGAAAAAAAAACCTGTTATATTCCCATATATAGTCATGATGTGCCTATATATGGTCATGATGTGATGTCATCATGACCATATTTAGGCATGTAACAAATTGATACACCCTATTTATTACACTTCTTTTATACCTTGTTTAGTGAGTGCAAATATTGATGATTTCGAATAAAAATAAAATTTTATTTTTGGCCAACTAGCACACACGCCACCACAAATAAGTGGAAATTTCAGAAAAAAATAAAAGTTTTTCTTTATTTTTATTACGCCCTCTGCTACCTTGAAATCTCCTAAGATTAGATAAGTATATTTCTTCCTTATTATATAATTTTGAAGCATTAACCATCCTATTTTACATAAACCAATAAAATTTTATTTTCTCCTCCGTCTGGATGATTTTGGCAAAACTATTTGCTAAGTAAGAAAATAAAATTTTCTTTCTATTTTTATTCAACCCTTCTCTGATAATCTTAAAAAAAATAAGTATGTGAAACAAGGAATCAAAGAAGTCTTGCCCTACAACTGCAATGAACCATAATTAATGGAGTCGGTCCACTTGTGTAAATGTCATTATTGGAAAGTGTAAAGCACAACTAGATATAGAGTACTACAGTGTTACGTCACAATACCACGTGTTATTACTCAGTTGCTATCGGCGACACAAAATGCGTTCAACCGACGCTATTTTCTCAACTGACAAACCATTGATCCCAATTTCTAACATAATTATTAAGAAGTTGTATCTTAATTTTTCTTTGTAAATGTTAATTGATGATTAAATGTGTGTTCGATACGATAACTAATATAATGCGAGCTTTTTGTGTTTTTAGTACATTTTGAAGGTAAATTATTAGGTTTTAAAATGCTTATTCCAGAAAGCCTATTCTAAACCATTAAGATTATGAAGTCATTCATCAGGCGTTATGAATGGTAACCAACGTCCAGAGGGCGCCACCTGGTGTTGTGACGAGACGACTGGTACTCTATGATTAATGCTTATAAATCCAAAAATGTTTCAAGCAATAATGTAGTTTGACCTGATTTTTGTATCATACCTGGCAACAATCCACATACCGTTATAATACGGCGCCAATTCCAAACAAGTTGCACAACGCATGTGAATAGCCACACGAATACAAATGGGTCTTAAGCTGTGACTTGTAAGGAGAGTTAGTGGGATATTCCCCACATCTTAACAATTGTTTCTTTATATGACATCTTCCGATACTAAGAAATTCAAAATTCTTCCATTATCCACAATTGTTCCTTTGTATGGACATATTGGTATAAGCTGTCAAACTCTGTTCGACTGTACAGCAATTATTTTAATCATTTTAGCATCTTGGTTTAGGAAATGATGATCAAATGAATTATTGTTACAGTCTCAGTATCCTTTCATATATAAATGTATACCTCTGAATATTTCATTTTTTTTTAAATGTGAAATCTTTAGAATTGAGGTCTTTGTACTGCCAAGAAATTTGATTAACAATCTCTCTTGCACTTTGTAATGTTTGACTGTTTTTATATTGTACTGTGTATTCTAAATAAATTTTTTGTACTTTTATTGTAAGAAAAAGAATTTTGATTGTCCTATTGGACAATAAAAATATCTTAGTACAGTATCTCTTAGAAGCGACGTTCATCTTAAATACATTATTGTATTTGATTATGTGAAAATAGATAATGCCTTTATAAAATATAAATACTGCCCTCACAGAAGTTACATCTGCCCTTGTTTAAGAAGATGTTATCACCTCCTATTTGTATCTGTGGATTATTGATTGGAATAGAAGTGTGAAGAATCAACCACCAATCAAAAGATACATTATTGACGTGCAAACTTGCCAATTTCTCCATTGTGCAAGTAATTTTAAAGGTTTGAGCTCTGAATGATCATCTGCGTTCCTTTCCTCACGGTTGAATACCTCTGTCATATAATCTGTTACAATGAACTATGATAGTAATCTTTAAATAAAGCATAGTCGATGCTAATCAAATGAAGAGTTGGTAATAAACTTCCAGTTAATGCTAGCCCTCAGGGCTTGGCCATTTATTCCTTTTTTTTTTAAAGAAAAAAAAAAGACCATTAGACCATTGCCCTTTAAAATATCCCTGCCACTATTCTGTGGTTATATTTCAATAATTATTTACTAGATTATATTACCCTCACAAGTCATTTTATATTAATGTCAGATGATATTTTTTTTTCTTTAATGCAATTTAGTTATCAATTCTGTACTTTTAGTAGATAAAAGAATGTAATGTATTTTACATTTAGTTTTTAGGAACATCATGTGCACAGTTAGTGTTTGTTATCAAATGATATGGTATTTGGTAATGAGTAATCCTACTTGAACCAAATATAATCTGAATGTGACGTTATTAGACAGCTTTTAAGATAAAAATATGAATAATTTCCTCAAGCTGGCATATCACAAGGGTCACAAATAATTCACTTTGGCTCATTGGACCACCCCCACAAAAAACATTTGAAATCAATATTTTGAAAAAATGCATGTTTGCTATAAATATTTCTATTCCATGATCAAACAATTTCATGTGGTTTCGAAATAGTACAATGTGGTCCTAACATCCTGAAAAGGTAAACAAGTACTGGTTTATTTACAAAGAAAAAACAACCACATTATTTCTATTGTTTTGACTTAAATGAAATATTAAATTAACCTTTCTTTTTTTTTCCTTTTCAGTCGCCTGGCAAGCCCAAGAAAGAAGCCAAATTCTTTAATTATGTGAAGAATACATACCGAATAACAGACACACAGGTAAGAGAAATGGATGTTTTTAGTAATCAAAATACCTTATGCAAATGAAATATAACAGATAAAAATAGTAGAGTGAAAAAAATAAAAAGAATTCAAGACCATCAGAAATTATATCATAGCAGGCAACTATTGTAAATGATGTGTTATAATAATTTTGACCAACATGAAAGGGTAAATCTACCTAGGTCATAATCAAGGGCACTACGTCTCTCCTAACTTGCGGAGGTCTAAAAAATTGGGACGGACTCCCGCAAGCAAACAAGGATCTGCCGGAAAATAACCTATCTCCCATGAAATTCATAATATTTGCATGTTTTCACTGGTTTATTATCAATTGTCTCATGGAAGTCAGTGCCAATGGGTATCACTACGTGCAGGAAAATGAAATTTGGTGTGTTAAGAAAACTCATTTAATCAGATCTCCCAGAAATGACTTCTTCGTACTAGGGACCCCCGCATATTGTACCTTTGTTTGCACTTGAATTAAAAATACACAGTAGATTTTGATACATTTTTGTGATGCGTGCAATATAGTCTGCCTGGACACACTTCACTCTGTTATTTCCAAGTGGTTTGGGTAAGCTAACCAAGAGGCTATTTTCCAAGGCTCTTATTACACTGGCTATTTTTCAGTAAAAAAATACACCCCAGCATCTCGGTTAGTTATACTAAAAAATGTCCAGAAGATGGTTCAAGAGAGCGATGCGATAGATCTCTTTTGCATGCAGCACAACCAGTAGATATGTGTACGTTTTTATCATGTTCGTTAAATGCTAAGATTACCAATATAGCGACAATTATTGAGATCTTTAATGGGATAGATTGGTTTGTTGTGCACAGGTCAACCACCACTAGTCAGAAGCAGTAGCTGCCTATTTGCCGACTTACTTAGCAATTTTGCTCTTTATTATTCAATTTAAATTATGTTTTTATGTAGGGCACAGAGAAGCAAGATAATAGTCACATACAAGCCACAGCATGGCATGCTATATATTAACCATTACTGACACCATTATTGGCATACATATAACAACATTAGTTATTGTTTAAAAAAATATAGGCTAATAATAACCATCTCATATTGATGTTGAAAATTCATAAAACCACAAATAATCAAATTTGCCCTTCCCCTGAAATCCCTATGGGCCAATGTCTCCATTATCCAGACTACTTTTTAGGTTATATATTTTAACAGTAAATATCGTAAAAAAAAAATATTGGTAATTCAATGGAATTGGGTAAATCGACTTTATAAGAGTCTCTCTTGATCTTAACAACTGGACAATTAAAAAAGCGCCAAGAATATGTGAGACCTTGCCACAAAATCAGTCACAGTTAGAATATCAAAAATTGAGTTTATATTATATTTGGGTAGATCAAATTATAAGCTTTAATTTGGTCTTTGAATGGCTTCACTAGGATATGTAGATCCAGAGACGTGAGCTTTTAGATATTATGTGTAAGAGAACCACATTTTGAGAAAGCAGGCCTCAAAGATAAACTAACCTGTACAAATAATAGGACTAGAATTACAGAATATGCGCAGAGAACACTGTTTTAGTAAGAAAATTCACTTAAAAATTATACAATCATTAAATATAAATATCAAGTTATTCAAAAACATTAAAATCAAAATTGCATAAAATTTTGACTTTGACCTATTTTGGTGATTATCTCAAAATCGTTTCACCAACGATGCGTCTCATTTCGTGGTGAGACCTCACATATGTGCGTGTCCCTCAAACGAACAAGTTTATGCTGCCATTTTTTGAGACATTATCCAAGTGGCGGGGCTAAGCGGAATGGTCCATCCATCCTCTGTAGATTCTCTGCCAACTATGCTGATACATTTGATCATCTGCTACTTGTTCAGAATTGTCTATACAATCACTTGTTAAAAATGCATCGATGACACCTGTTCTTGAACTTATCTCTCCGTTACACCTGTGATTAGTCTTTGATTTACGAAATCCTTATCTTGTCTCTTATACCCAAATTACCTTGCAATCAGCTTGAAAAAAATTTGTTTTATTGGTGATTACAGATGAACTTGGGAGCATTAGTTTGTTTGTGTTGTCAAGTAAACTCCCAGTAGCAATTAGGCAATGTATGTGTGTGTACAGTTCACCTTGTTAATATTACCCTTTTGTAGTTAATTGGCGAAGACTAAGAACAAACTATTCTCTCAAAGAATCCATTAACACCACTTTCATTCTTTCTCATTGTTATGGCAATGAAATGCTGTGTCAAATAGGAAATACTCTTTTAATGTGGCACCTCAAAAGAAATTCTGTTTACGCTTAAGATATAGTTTTATGGAGTTAATTTGCTTTGAGTACGAGGATAAAGGAAAAGCATTGTTGTTGATCAGCCTTAATAAGAGCATGATTCTTGTATTAAAACAAGCTTTTGTGCTTGCAAAAATTGACACAAATTCGGTGAATATTTACTTTGGGTTTTGGACGCAGACCGTTGAAAGGTTTACACAATAGGTTATTGTTAGAGATAGCAAAACAGCTAATAATATGGAATGTACTGATTACTTTGCCTAATAAGGGGCCAATGCAAAATAGTTTACTGTTGATAATTATTAAAATTTAGTCAGTAAACTTATTTCTTTTGTTGATGGTTCTTTATCTCTATTCATATATGCAATTGAAGCTATACTGGAAATCCTGAAATCTACTTCCCCCTCAATTGATTATATTTTGAGATGAGCAAAAGCAAATGAAACTTGGAAAACTTGAACAAGTTCTTATCAACTGTATCACATCATTGTTATTAACAAAGAGTTAGGATAAGACATTTCCCTTGCGGGGAATGGCGTTAAAAAACCACCGCCCTCAAAGGTGAACGAGGCGCTCTTTTGTTGTGCTTTGTACGCACAGCGGTCTGTGTAAATATCGCCGGTTTTGGCATACCATTTCACAGTATTATCAACTTGACACTGATAAGGATCAGTAACATTTAACAACTAATTGCTGAAAACGTTGACAAAAAGAATTTAGAAGGCAGAAAAAGTTAATTAATTTATAACAAAGTTAACTGGAGTCAGACCATGTCAATGACATTTACTCCACCAAAGTTGAAGGGTACAAACTGAAGTGGGAAATTACTATTGAGTTATTCATTTATTTATTCTTTTTAATTTTAAAATCATGCCTACTTCAGTACAAAAATTAAGCAAATACTTCGTAATAAAACTTGTGGTTGGCAGTCTTGTATATGGTTGAGGTATTTACCGTTAAATTGATTGTAACTTATGGTTAATTAATCGGCTTTGGTTTACTTGGCATTACCAGGACATGTTAACCTTTATACCAGTAGTAGTATAGTTGTTTGACAGGGCCTGCTTCAATGGTTTTCTAACTGCCATATCAAACTATTGAGAACAGACACTTTAGACAGGAAATGATGGGTCTAATCGGTAGCAATAGATTGTGGTATAAGGAGTGAGGTGTTTCACAGTAAATCTGGGCATGATCTGCTCTATGTTTGTTTCCGTTCGTAACCGTAATTAAGCTGCCCCATCAAAAGTCGTATGATTGTGAATAATGGCGCATATTTGTTGGCGAAAATATGCAATTGAATGCTCAATAGATTGAAATGGGGCATAGTGTTAGATTGAATAATAATGTCTAGGTCATTGAACTGTCCGGTTACTTCAGTCCCTATCAATAGAATAGGGTTATTCAACTTAACGGGAGTTTAACTATAGACCGTCTGTATTTCTGTCACACCGAATGGAACAGTATTGTTGTTCAGGAATTCTGGGATTGATTGATCAGACTGTGTTTCAGGGCTTGACAGGTGAATAATGGCAATAATTATGTCGAGAAAACTTTGATATTGCATCTGTTTAAAGAATGCTTTGCATTCCTAGGCAGAGTACTTTATCATTTCTTTTATTATTGCTTATTATTAATATTGTTAGGCCTATTTTTTGTATTGTTAAACTCACAAAGGATTTTGAAAGATCGGCACAATGCAAGCTTTTATTCTTTTAAGTACAGTGAGCTCTTTTTCTCCACTTTTCTATGCTTTTATCCAGGGTAAGTGTATATCTTTTATATATTAGCCTTCTGTTCTCATGAGCAACCTGTTGTGTGATGGGTACAGTACAGGTAGCACCATTTATAGAACATTTTTCCCCTCCCATCCCAATAGAAAGATTGACTGGGTACATTAACAATAGACATATGTCTGTTTTGTCTGATACGCTTATCATCTGACATCCAAATTTATTGAAAACATTTCATTTTCTAATTCAGTCTCTTTCATATATTATAATTAATTCTTTTTTTGCACAAATGTTTTTCAAATGAAAAATGCTATTGTCCGGAGACCAATTACAAACAATGATCTAAAAGTGGTTCAGTTTGCTTGATTTTTTTTTCTGATGCTTTTTACTGAAAGTTATCAACATATAACATTAAGTATTTGTCAGTGACCTAACCATTATTAAGATATACTTATGCCAACAGCAATAATCAACAATGCCATTTAAACTGTCAAATGAGTAACATTAATGTGTTTGTTACAACATCTTATGATAATTAACCATGATGGATTTTAATCTTACCATGTTTGATGGAACATTGTATGCATTTCCACTTTTAAACATTCTAGTCCAAAAATAACTCTGTTGAATGTAAGATTTAGTTTGGCTAGTATCCAATTTTTTGAGTATTTAAGGTTGTTTTTGTAACCTCCGTGAAAGGGTAATTCGTATCCAGATGTTGATTATATCCTTTATATTTTCTTATAGATTATTTGAGCATTGAGTCAGATCATAATGTATGGAGTTACCCTATTCTTTGTTGTCCTATTAGAATAAGTGATGACACCCATTAAAATTGCATGCTGATGTAGTTCTTAAAAATTTGTCACAAACCTAGCCTTTAGTTTACACAGATATTTATGAAGACATTGTCAAGATTTAGGTAAAGTAACATAATTATCAATCCTCTTTTCTTGATGTAACATTACAAATATATATATATATATGTATGTATATATGTGTGTATATATATATATATATATATATGTATATTTATGTATGTATGTATATATGTGTGTATATATATATATATGTATGTATACATACATATATATATATATATATATATATATANTAAAAGAAGTATTTAGTACCTGTCTCTTATACACATCTAGATGTGTATAAGAGAATGATACTTAAGGCGTAAACGTATGCTGAAATGATCGACCATAGGGCAAGTTCTTCCATAGGGCGAATATATTCACTTCGCCATAAGGTTACCACCACCACCACCATGCTATGTGATACGTTACAACCATTAGGAGCGGATATTTTTCGTATTCTAACAACATTATACAAAAATATAATTTCTGAATGTCTTCAATAAGGTTTTTAATGAATGTTGTCCTCATTCATGTTTGTGGTTAGTATGTAACATTTGCTAGCATTAGGTTACTAACCTCTTAATTCTTCCCCTTTCTCTGACCCTTCCAGCAACAGGTCCACTCTGCTTGTTTTAACAATTTCATGGCCAAGTTTCACCCAATTAACACACTGTTAGATTTGGCCTAATAACCTGTCAGCCACTGATTAACTGCTCTCTCAACGCGTCAGTTTGTGGAGTTTGTTGCTAATTTCCACCTTCTATTGCTTGTGTCTTGCTCACTGATCAGCCAAGCATAGAGCTAGTGTTTTTTGTTTTTTTTTTTTTTTTTTTTTTTTCCCCCACTTAATTACCATTTCAACCTTATGCTGTGTGCAGTTGACATAGTGACAGATATTTTGTGGCATTGTGTGTGGAGATATGTGCGGGCATGTGAAGATAATTGTGGAAAGAAATTACAGGGATACTGGGTCTGTGAAAGAATGTTTCCTGCTTAAATCCATACCCACTTTGTGTACATATGCTTTCTGGCATATAATATTACGCTAAGTATGAATGCATTTATTTTGGAGGTTTATTCCCAAAGTGTGCAGCAAATCAGCAAATGCTATGTCATATTACAATGTTCGTGCTGTATCGGGAGGCATAGCATTGTGTTAATTGTATTTGTTGAATGCAAACGCGTCTTTTGGAAACCAGAAATCACAAAGGTTTAATTTTGTGTGTGGTATGAGCACTGCCTAACCGTATTTTCTTCCCACTAGCTTTAAAGGCTTTACAAAAATTAATGCTAATCTTTTTTCTTTTTCTTTTTTGTATTTTAAAGAAATTACAAGAACTCTGGAACTGGCACAAGAACACTAATTTGTAATGAGTTTGAAGACAATCAAAATGTAAAATTTTGCTAAGCTGCATCATTGTTGATCATTATGTTTGTATAACCTGGAGGAGGAAATCATGGTAAAAACACAATCCGGTTTAATCAATTCTATATACTGTATTTTTTCTATTCAGTAAATCAGTTTCAAATTTCTTAATTTTTAACAATGTAAAAATGAAACTGAGGAAATTTCAAAGCCATGAACTGGCAAGGAAGGGGAAAACCCTACTTACATTTCCTGTTTCCTATCAACTATGTACAAAGGTGACCCACTCAACCATCCATGTAGCCTAGCGATGAACATGTGAATAATTTCTTCAGAATATGAATCCCACAGTTTGACTTACAAGAGTATAAGTTAAATAAATACAACACAATACGCTGTTTAAAATAGCCGCACATTCCCCAATCTATTGCATACCCTACCCAGTGTTGTGTATCTAGATATTAGCATCAGACCATCGGAGGTTTTAGAGGGGTGGAGTGGCTGGGGTATAATTAAGAGCTGCAACTTGATAACCTTTAAGATTTCCTGCTGGTAGACCTCCTTTGTCATGATGCAACAAAACCGTGTCGGTTCGTTTTTGTAACAGCATCCATTTACTTAAACTAACTGTGTTTGACAAAGATTACCAGTAATGTTGATATTACAAATGTAAAGAATAAAAGAAGTATTTAGTACTCTGTGTTGCATTAAGCAAACTTAAAAAGGTTTGATTATAAACAGGATTTGTGTATTCTTTATTCACTATCAAGGGGCTTGTCTTCTCTTCTCAAAGCAATTGGGTTTTCAGAAAGTACTATTGTGGTGAGAAGCCCGGATTAGGTATCTTTTTGAACTTGCTTCCTTTAAAATCATGAACCAGTAAGGGTAATTGAATCTATGGATCAAGTTACAGGGTTTAAAAAATAGCTAGCATTAGCAAGTATTAATCCAGTTGTCAACTCCTATTAGAAGTGGTATCTTTAATATCACTCGTAACATGTCAGGTGTGGACACCGTTTGTCATGAATAGTTGGGTTTCTTATGTTACATCAATTTCATGACGAAAATTATTATCAATTATATTGATTAAAGATTTCATGATTAAATTGTTTCTGATATTATCAATTATTAATTACATTTAAAATAATTTCAAGTTTCATCTTGTGTTGTTGTTAACAGTATCAACTGAGTTTTCGGTTATGTAGAAGTAATTTAAAACCTGAGCTGATGTAATGCTGGGTCTCTGGTTATCGCGTCCTTGAGATGTCAAACCTCCAACTCGTTAGCAAAATTCAATTTTCAGAAATAAGACATTGAATATGAAATGTTCTCCACCATTCCTGTTGAATCCTTATCGAGAACGAAATTAAGACGAAGACTCGAGTGTAACATCTCTGCTTGATGACCTCTGTTCGAGTCGGGCAACAGGTAGGAAACTAATTTTTAGCTATGTCCGGTATTCTGACTGAAGCTCTTACCTCAAGAGCAGGTAATGAAACCTGTTGTAAGGATGAGTTAAAAACCAGGGTGTCTTTCGTCAATTTAGGATTTATGCAGGATTGTGGTAATCAGAAACAATATGAGAGCTACAGCAGGCACTGCACCTCCAGCGGTGACCTAGCACAGTCAGCTGTGGCAGCCAATTGTGTCATGTTGTCTAAGATAATAACACTATAATGATTTACTAAGTGATCCGCAAAATTGTTCGCTCTGGGATGCTACTAGTAACCTTGGTAATAATGGCCTGAAAAGTGGGCCAAACCTGCTCACAGTGGTGCGTCGGGCTCAGCACGCGTGCAGCATGCATTTGCTGGAGGCATGTACAAGTTATTCCACTTAAAAACAATATTTTGTGTATTAAGTATTTGCTCAAAAGTATCTGACATGTGTAAAATAATGAAAGTATGTAAACAATTTTATCATCTTGATACTGAACACATTGCTTGAGGTTAACAATCTTTTTTGTACTTTTTCTAATACAGTATATTCATCCTTTACCACAAAGTGGTGTTGTAATTATTATTGTGGTTAGGAAAAATTGAACTTTTTTTTTTCATTATTGTTATTCAATTATTATTATTAATGTATATTATATGAACTGAGAATGTACTTACCTTTTCCATCATTGCCAAAGGACAAATGCTTTTTGTGATGAATCTTTGCATTTCTGTTCCTGTATTACAATAGTTTTTTTATTCCATGCTACATGCTACAAAGTGGTTCCAATTAAGAGGTATTAAGCAAACGTTTCATAGTCAAAATATATCATAAGTTAAAGTACTAGTACTGTTTATAGCAGGATATTGATTTTCTAATTGATGGATAATGGTTCCTGCAGGTTGCCTGACCACATTGCAGGTGGTCTGGTCAACATGTTGCTAGGTGGCCTGGCCACATGATACGTGATGGTAATACCCTGTGCATGATAATGCACAGGGTATTCTGGTTCATGCTGCAGTACCAGATGGTCCACATGCTGCAAGTGGTCAGGTTCGTGCCACAAAATTTCCAACATTCTACTAATGGTTTGGAGGGTGCTGTCTGGTGGCATGGCCTGCAGACTGCATGTGTTCATACTACCTTCCTCATTCTACCAAGCAGATTATTGGTCCATGCTGCACTGCATCTGCCCCGTGCTAAAATCTTTTGTGTTTGCCCATGGTTTTTGAGTGAAAATATTCACACAGAATCGATCAGTGCTCTCTCTTCAACTTGCTACTCTTGTAAGTCGAATTTTAGGATTTATTTAAACAACCATTACAAATTGTCCTGTACCCAATTGTTGGTGCCTCTTTGCACATAAAAGGTGATTGCATGTTAATAATTGTTTTGTAATTCATAAAAAAAATTGACAAGTTTGGTCGTAGTTGACAATAAAAAAAATATTGAGTTAAGACTTCTTGTAGGGTTAATTATTTGTTCTCTGTTATTCCATAAAACTATAAATTGATAGGAAATAAAAGGAAATTAACTCGTATTTCGTATGGAGCCATAAATTATGGCTACATTTAAAACTCCACAATCATTTTAGGCCTACACTCGTTATAATTTTTTTTTAAAAGCTATTAAAACATATACTGTATTGTCCTTAAATGATAATGGTAATAGCAGTGGTGTATCTAGGGGCTGCAGGGAGCACGCCTTACCTCCTAAAAAATCGTTACCCCTCCCCCTAAAAAAAATACGCTCAAGTTAAAAAAAAAACATCAAATCACCTTATTTTGCGAACTAGCATTGATTTACATAATCATCAATCCCTCACTTCACCCTTGCGCCTCCATCAGCAACAAACCCCCCCCCCCCGTTCCCCTTATTTCAAGGTACGCCACTGGCAAGTACTGTAGTAGGTCTAAGATAATGGACGCAAACAACAATACGTAGGACGATGGATCGATATTCTTGGATGATAGGGAATGAATCGCGAGAAACAAAAACGGAAGACTTGATAGCATTGGAAGAAGTCAACATCAAGGGAAAGAGGATTCCATTGGCAAGTAATTCTGAAAAGGAAACTTAAAAGCATTAGAGCAGCAAAGAGAACAGATAGAAAGTTGATCATTTATGGTGCAGATTAATCGGGAAAAAAGAAGTCCTTAACACAATCAATTTGATGCACTCGGTAATATCTAAATCCGAATAGAATCGGTTAGCAAACGACATTTAGTACAGCAGAACGAAGTACTATCGGTCACCGTGACCCACACAGACAGTAGATAATATCAACAAAAGAAAACAAAGACAACTATGAGTAAGAGACGTGAGAAAATGGATATGCATCGCAGAACAATTTGAAATTGGTAATTGTTGACGTCTCAGATCAAAATGCGCATTTATTGAACAGACTGTCAATCATAAAGACAAGCGTTGCGATAATGTTTAAATTCACTCAACGGCACTTTAACAGGATCCCATACTAACCACGCAATACAACTGTTACTTCTGTACCAATTTCACATCTTGTTATTGCTTGTTCTTTCTCTAGAAAGGTGGAGAGCACTTTACAGACTAACACACTTTTAGAAAGAAGGGATTAGGAAGTGACAAACAGCCAGATCTTCTTGTCAAAACTTCGGCTCGAATTAACCACGTTTTAGATTTTTTTTTGTAGAACACATTTTTCCTACAAACTCTTATTATGCTTCATGTGAAAACTGCAACTCATTCTCACGAAACACACCAAATGAAGAAATAAGTAATTTCCTTCTTGGGTTTATTTTTTTTTCTTGTCAGTTGTTATGTTCTTTGTGGTTTTATTTGGTGGACACGATAGCACAGCTTGGACCAATCTACCTTTTACGCATGTTAAAAACAAACATAACTTGTATATTAGCATGTATTTTTATATTATCCCTAACTCAGTGATTTAGTTGATGTCTGGTGTGCCCCTGTTTCGTATTTGAATTGGATTGTTTTATCGATATATTTGTTTTGGTAAACTTTAATATACCGAAACAAAATTTGTCAAATGAATGGAATCCTGCCCAATTTCTGGTGACAGATGAATTCCAAATAAACTCGCGATCCTAAACATCGTTCGACTTCAGACGCTCCCATCACTATCAACAATGAATATATTCTCAGTAATATACATTGGAACCGTCAATCGAATCTAATGTACAACTGACAAGAAAATTAGCTACAGTTATTGGATTATTCGTTGCGGAAGTTACATTCGATTTATTGGTCTCGCGGCATGTCCTAACGTTTCTTTAGGCCCCTTTCCATCTTCCGCGTAGGCTTACACTCACTCAGTTTATCGGCACATCAAACTCTTAGTGATCCCTAGCGAGAGTGTATCCGCCTAACACTGGTCTGACAGGCTTTGTCAAAACCATGCCACGCCGCTTAAACTGTGAATCATCCAGAAAATCAAATTTACGCCAAATACGAAGTTCAAAACAGTTTTCCACTATCACCCACTTTTCAGGCCGTAAACAATCTAGACAGGCAGACTCGATCGAGACAGCGCATAATATCAGGTGCATACAGGAATTATCGTACATTAATTTGTTAAAATGTTAGTTGGAAATGTTATCGATATAGTCATGATGTCCAAACATGATATGCGCACGCGAGTCGGCACATTAATGGTTAACGAACTTTTAGTTTGGTTCCCATAGTGTTCAAGTGTTTACGACGAAATATACAGTCCTTTTATTTATACAAATGGTATTTAAATGCCTTCTTATGCTATCATAATTAATCCAGCTTGGATACTAGGTTAACATTAAATAAATCAGATACAGTATACCCTGTAAATTATTTTCTAAAATGTAAAGTAATTTAACATTGAACGGAAATTGTAACGAAAGAAGATAGCGCCACCAATTGTCTCAATCTTACCAACTTTTGTAGAACTGCTGTTACGGTACGGTACGTCCTCTAAACAGGGAACAGTGAAATTACTGTTTTCACTGTTCCCTGCTCTAACCAACACAAACTGCAGTACGAATCTTGTGTTTTATTGCTATCTCGACCTACAGGCGTATAAATAGACCGACTTCTAACGTTGGTTGATAATTCAGTTTATAATTTCGTTAAATCATGTTAAATTGTTTTACTTTCTAGACATAATAAAGATAAAATTGATATTTTGATATATTATTATAAATATAGGATCATCGGTATCATTACGCTATCATTATTTGTAACAATAATAATTATACTAGAAGACCGAAAAAATATAGTCCTATGTACATTTTATACTGAAAAATACGAGATCCAACCAAACCTGGATTGAGACTCTGGTCTTGATACATAGCCAAGACCTAATATTGGCATAGAATTTTGTAGATTTTTCTTTGTAGGTAACGGTAGGAGAATAACACCCAGCGTCAATGTGTTGTGTTGCGTCTGTCACTACCTAGCCGCCATGAGAGGCGCTGACATGGTCACATCCTTTCACGACGACAGGGGCTGAAATGAACCGCAAGCATCGGGGTAACACCCCCCCCCTTTCTTCCTATGCTTCCGAAAGATGCAATGTGTTCTTTAAAGACATTGCACGCGAGCCAGATGTATACACTGGACTCTCCATTTTTTAAATCCTTATCCGAGAAGACTTTGTTCTACCAACTACATTACCACTAAAGTTTCCTAAAAACGCTCAAATTAAATTTTGAATTACTCATAACTGAACCACATACGTTAACTTTTGATAAGTAACAGGTGGGAAAATAATTTACAGATAGACCTATTTTACTACACAACCCCTTTATTTGCTGGCAGAAATTAAAAGGTGTCTTGCAGAGACAGAAAGGGTATTTAAACGTCTCTTAATCGACGAGAACAAAACCACAATTTCTCTTTTGGGGGAATTTTCAATTGTAGGCTTATATTTAGGTGAAACTGTCTTAAAATCACAAGGTATTTTATTGAGTAAATATTTTTCATGTTTATTTATTATAGGCCTATAATAGAAGTGACGTAACTAAAGATGTGGCCTTTTAACATTAACGTTAGGTAATTAGTGAAGATTTGCTATGAGACACACTCACGGTTGTCATCGGTTATAGCCGAGTGGAACCGTTTGAGTGATCGAGCAATAAACTATCACAATTCCCGGCTAATGTGTAACCGTGTTGCACCAACATTCAAATAGAACAAGCATTCCATAATTGATGATCGTTATACAATTTCCACCCACACAATCGTTCCACTTCTACTTAAAAGTCATATATGATATTAAAATACTACAAATAGTTCGTCAACACATGTTTTACTCACCACACAACCGGGACATTTGCGGAATGTTTCAGAATAGTCGCGGCCACTTGAAGTGTACGCGGGAGTATGTTTTTTCGTTACCGAAATGTAAATATTATTAATCAGCGTGTGAAATCGTATCAGACCTATGACGCAAAGGCAATTGTATCCTTTATCTAATGATCTCAAAATTATCTGTCTCTTTATGTAACTTTTTAATAACTTAATATGCTGTGTTTTTTATAGTGCAATTCAGACCACTTTATAGAGATTTACTGGATTCAATGGTTTAATCACAATCTGCATTGCGTGATTTGATTTGTGACTATTACCGGTACATGTAGATATACGGTATTCATATTATTATCTTTAAAGTCGTGTTTATTTATTCAAAAAATCAAATAAACACAAGTAGGCCTACAAATAAAAGCCGACAACCAGAGTTTTATTTTTACCGTAAATGGCCTCATTTGCAACCGAAGTAGGACATGAACGTGCCAAAAATGACGACGTAAATATAGGCCTGCATGGGACTCTCCCATTTAGAGTAAGAGAATAGGATGAGTGTTAGGACTAGGCCTATTAGTATTAGAGTTGGCGACGCTACCCAATATTTACTGCAGTATGAACGATTTCCAAATCCACCACCGACCTCACGATATTTTCAAATTACACATTTCAAAAACTTTTACGCTACGGGATATTTTGAAAGCAGATTTACTACTTACAATTTAACTCATCTGAAAAAAAATACAACCCAATTCTTTCTGTTGCCTAAAGGTTACAATTTTGAACTCGTGTTGCACCTGACCTCCAAATAAGAAATCTGAAGAGTAAATAAAAAAACAATACAGATCATTAGACGATATATTAACACGTCCAAATAATTAGCCTGATTACTTTACAACGCTACTGTTACTATTATCTCCATTCTAAGAAAATTCGCCGCATAACAATCATTGGCTATTGGAAAGTGTAAACTATTGACCTACGAAATTCGCCCAAAACGTTTTGATTATTATTAAGGATTATTAACAAGGCAATTAGTACCCTTAAAAAATAAGATTTAAATGTTAAAGGTACCGGTATGGTACTGTTCCGTCCTGTAAAGTTAAACTTCATCCATAAATTCAATTTTGAATAGTTGACGTTGTATAAGGCAGTCAGTGTTTCATTCTTTTCGTGTCTTTG